GGGGGGGGGGTCTTCTGGTGAGATATCCTAAGGGATTGAAATTGGGGATTTCCAGAAGTTTATCTTTGGAATTTTTTTTAGGAATGGTAGCTAGTGCTAGGTAGTCAAGGCCAGAGGAGTCTACATGGGAGGGATTGTAGGTCCACAGTGGTATCAAGTTCAAGGTCTGGGAAGGACAAGGGAGGAAGGATAGAATAATGAAGATGGGTAGACTTGGGGTTCCCATGTTGGTCAAAGCCATGAGTAAGTTGCAGCTTACATTGCTAGCTGCCCTACACTACCCACTACATGTTTGTCTCCCCTCCCCACTGATATTTCTTCCACCACCCACACCACCAACCAAAGAACCCTCTTGTCTATTCCAGATCTATCATTTTCCCTAGGTATCTCATCGAGATCTGCCACTAGGGCTCGGGCAGGGTTGTAGGTACACCGTATGCCTGCCTCGTACCTATACTGAATTTTAAAAGCTCTTCTGTACACACCCTGTCCTCACCCAGGTCCCTTGATCTTCTGGTGGTTGTCACACGTAATGTGCCCTGCAACTGAATTCATGACTGCAGTGTGCTGATGGGCAAAGGCTAGAAGAGAACCCCAAGGCTTTTCCTTCATTTTCATCATAAAACATGAGTAGAAGCAGAGACTTTTGAAGCCTAAGATACCTGACTTTTTTTTTTTTTTCCTCCTGTACTGAGGGAACCCAGGGTTTGGATAGACCCACCATGTAGGAGAGAAGGCATCAGGTGGACCCACAATCCCATGTTAACTCCCCTCAACTTCTGAGACGATAAGAAAAATAAGTTTGAGGGTACTTAGAACGAACAAGTCAGAGTCCTTGAAATGAGAGCTAGTTGGGAAATTAAGTCTGATGGTATCACATGAACAGAGCCAATCCTGCCATAGGGGATCAGGCTGAAGGGTCGGTCTCTGGCCATCCTGAAAATGTGTCTCTTGAGGGGCTGGGGAACAAGTACCTGCTAGGAAACGTGCCTCCTTCTCGCCATCGCTGAGGTCGGAGTAGGCGTCTGTATCCCTGCGCACGGCCTCGTGGCTGTGTTGCGGCTGAATGGCTGGTGCCTTCCCCCAGCCCTGCCACTCAATCATGTGAGCCACCCGGCCCTGCCCCATGGCTGTGGGCTTTGTCACATGGTCCTTCATGCTTCGTGAAATCCCTAAGGGGCCAGACATTCCCCAGGTGCTCCAGAACATCACACAATACCCGCACCAGATCTGCCCCGCCCCCGACCCCGCCATCACCCCCACCCTAGTCCCGTGGGACTCCATCCCATGAAGGGGGCAGGTATGCCCTAAGACTCTGTCTATGAGGGGCAGCCTGGAGGATGGGAGAGGCTTGACAGAAAGGGCAAATAGGTCCGGGGTCTGGGGATGAGGGTCTTCTTCAGGCCTGAAGGGGCAGGGAGACTGAAAGCATGAGCCCCTAGGGATTCTCCCGTCTGCACGCATCCCCAGGTCGGAGTCTCACCTGACAACGATGACTTGGCCAGGGCCCCAATGCCATAGGCGTTAGAGTTTCGCTTCAGCTTCGGAAGAATGGAAGTGGTGTCCTCCATGGAGAGCTGGGATAGGGAATGTGGGACGAGGGGCAGAGGAATAAGAGGATATGAGGTGCTTTATATGTGGAGGACAGTCCACGGTTTCCAGGAGTAAGGGTATGAGCTAGGGCGGGTGATCAGGCTACCATTATACCCGGGGGGGGGGCTACCATTATACCCGGGGGGGGGTGGGGGGGGGTGGGTGGTGGTGGTCCCTAGGAGGCCTATCCCCCAACCACCCTGGAGAGTTTGGGGGTGGCTAAAGAATGTGAGGGCTCCCAGTGCCCGCTGGAGGAAGGGGGCGCTGTGTCCTATGGCAGCAGGTGGGAGAGGCCAAGGAAGAGGAGGTAGGGTGGGTTGCAGAGGCCTGGGGGGAGCTGCACTCACATTGATGCCATCCCAGGAGAAGTCAGTCCGGGTTTGCTGTGAGGAAAGAGGAGAGGGAGTGGGTACCCGGGGCACTTCCTCAGAGGGGCTTCCAGAAGAGTGTGAGGTAGAGGGGGCTTTCCTGAGATTAACACAGGGAATTGGGATCTCCGCGTGGAGCATTTGGCTTGTGTTTGAGGAAAGGAGGAGAAATGTTCTGTGAGAGCGTCAGTCTGAAGGTATGTTTGGGAGGTTGTCCTGGAATTTAGGAAGGTGGCTGAAGGACTAGGCTTATGCATGGTGGTTCTGGGGGTGTTTTCGAGGTCCTCTGGGAGGGGGGCTGAGCACGGAGGGCCTCACCTCAGTGGATGGCCGGTGGAGGCTGCTCCCGTGCAGCGAGCTGGTGCTGTCCATGTGGATTTGGTCCACATCCTTCAAGCCCTTCCAGTCCACGGCAATCACTTCGTTTCCTGAGATGGACAGATGGTTAGTTGCTTCCCTTTCAGCTCCCTATGCCCACTCCGAAGGCCCGTCCTTCTTTTTCTTCAGAACGCTGAGGCCACAGATGCGGGCCAGGCTCTCCAGACCCCTCCCTGCCTTCCCGCTACCACTCCCTCTTCTGATTGCCTATTTTCTTTTACATCCCCACTCACCCCAAATTTTTGTTAGGAGAGATCATAATGCTGAGCTCAATCAAGAATAGCACACTCGGAAAAAGTGTTCTATGGCCTCATTCGTTGTTGTTTAAATGGAAGGGTCAGTGGCTGGGTTTTAGAAGGAAAACAGGTCTCCATGCTATCCTGAGGAATCTCTGAGGGTTTCCGTATGGGAGTGCATGGGAGCTGTGCTTTTTCCTTTATTATGTTCCTACAAATAAGGGCAGACGTTTTCCAGGGGCAAGCTTCCCTAAGTGTTGGCCTTATTATTTGTGAGGTGCAAGGATTGCATCTTCCCTAGTGGACGCTCCAGAGGAGTTGGTGGATTTGTCTGACAGGAAGGAGGTTTGGTGGGCATAGAGGCAAGAGCTGGGTGTGTACGCCTAGAAGCAATGAAAGCAGAGAAAGCAAAGAGTGAGATGGAATCATTTTACTTGACCCTTGGGAGACAAGTGATGGATTAAAGGGGAGGGAAGGGGGACAGCAGGAGAAGAGCAGGGCACTTTTTAAAATAGGAGCTAAAAGAATAGGAATTCGAGTCAGAGAGAAGACAAAAGACAATGGGAGACGGCGGACAGGGTTTGAGGGCTGCCTGGCAAACTGGAGGACCTAGGAAGATGGTAATTCTGCAGCCGAGGCCACAGCTCCTCATAAAGGGAGGCTGCTGCCTTCAGGGGTGGGTATGCCAACCGGGAGCCTTGGGGAAGAATCACTTGGGTGGTAGACCCAAGTGAATCACCTGACCTTATAGATCTTTTCTACACATAGAGTTTTTTGACTCTGAATTTAGCATTAGGCGTCCACTCTTGAGGAGGGGTGAATTGAATGGGGTCTTGGGCACCAGGAGGCATTCGGCGGCATGCAACAACATAGCTGCCGCAAGAGGAAGGGATTGTGCTTGACAGGTCTGAGAGAGGTGAGGCCCCTCCAAAGTGGGCACACTCTCCCTTGGGGCTACAGGGGAATGGTGAGACGGGTCAGACCAGTGGCTGGGAGGGAAGAGGAAAGATGGACATCCGGGCGGACAGAGCAGGAATGGGGCAGGCAGAGGACAACCTCTGAGGGGAAGGGAGATGGCGAGGGCAGAGTGGGAGAGAGGGGTGAGGGGGGGTGGCCTCTGTAGAAGAGGGAGAGCTGAGTCAGAGCCGTGGGGGGGCAGGGGGGGGGAGGGAAAGAACCCAGAGAAGAGGTGAAAGCAGAGGAGGAAGTGGGGGTATCCATGGAAATAAATCGGGTCTCAGAGAAATCAGGCTTCCGGAGAGTGAGTTTGTTTGTGATAATAATACGAATTATTCTCTCAGCCTGAGGTCACTGGGGCTTGTAGGCGGGAGAAATTGGGAGTCGGAATGGGAAAAATTGGGGGTTTGGGGAGAGGGTTGAATCAATCTGCTGAGCTGTGAGAGCGGAGTGGGTGCACGGGGTGCAGGAGAAGGCACTGGGTAGCGAGGCAAATGCAGAGGGGAGAATTCCGAGGCGCCTCTCTCCCTTCCCCCGGTCAAAGGTAAATAAAGAGCTGGCCCCGCCCCGCCAGCCCCCGCCGACAGGTGCAGCCAGGTCCCCGGGTTCCCTCGCTCGGCCAGCCCCACCCTCCTGGGAGCGCGCTCGCGACCCCTCTCCAGCCCTCGAACCCCCGGCCTTCCCCCGGCGTCCCCGGCTCTTCCACCCCAACCCGGCCCGGCCCCATTGCCTCCGGCCGTGGAACCCATTCCCCTCCCCGAGGCACCAGGCTCACCCCGCCCCCGCCCCGGAGGGAAGATGCACGTGAACAAAGCAAATCGGGGGAGGCAGAAACGCCCGAAAAGGGCAACGGA